GGTACAAGGGGGCAGTTCGTCTTGCCCCAAGGCTCGAACATGACCACGCATTTCTGCGCAGGTTCGATCTCAAGTATGTTATGACTTGTAAAATTCACAGACTTTAGTTAAAGATCGCACTGGCCATGGGCATGGCTACATAGGGATCAAAGGGAACAAAAAAATTCGGGGGGCCTAATTTATAAAGTTTGCCTCAGGCCCCGAAAATCACAGAACCGGCCATGCCTGTATGATGAAAATTTGAGGAACCACTTGCGCAGGAAAACGTAGGAATCATTTTCTGCGGTATGAAATCTAAAAGCTTATGTTGCTATAGAGAAAATGCATTTATTTATCTAAATTTAGCGTTCAACATGCCCCTATGAGCAAGGCAAATTCGTGATATGGGAGTTGGGGGAGATTGGGTGCATGCATAAGAGTACAACGTGGTGTTTGAATTACAGGCAAAGTCATCTCTGAAAATATCATAATCGCCTCTCGTTTTAGAATATGAAAAGCCAGCACCAATTGGAGATTCTAGGAATAATAAGTTGGCTTCTGCACCATCACACAAGAAAGACAATACTTTAACAGCATTTTCTGTAGGGAATAGAGTAGATTTTTGTAGGCTAATGCACTTTTCTATAGTAATGCACGCCGATCGACAAATTTAACTATTTAAAGTTTGTACTACATTGAATCCTCTCGTCTCAAAGATCGATAGATGATACATCTGTGTTCCATGAGTAAGTTCAATGATGGTCATAATAATCGGCTTAGAAAATTGTAGTTCTTTCACATTGGTTATGATAACTCGTAATTGTTGAACATTATAAAATGGAACCCCAAGATCCAAATTGTATCAAAGCCTAACAAGCTCGAATGAACAGTTCAAGCTAAAACTCTAACAACGACTTTGAATGCCAAGTTTTATTTTTTGAAAACGTGTTTTTCCATATTGCCTTTTATTCTATCTCCACGTTTCCCTGTTGTCACGTCCCAGATTGTATCAAACGGTTTATGCTAATAGAGTCATAAATATTATTTTTAGACATGTTCCTTTTACTTTTGAATCTTGGTAACTTCTCAAATTTTATTGTTAATGTCGTCTTGACCGATTTTGATGTAACCTTTGTTTCATAAGTGAATACCATTTGATTAACAAATTATTGATTTCGAATAACATCAAAATTGGAATTGAAAAATTCAAAAGTTTGAAATTTTCAAAAAACTACTAGAAAATGACAAGTCCGAACTTTAGTTTAAATAATAAAATTCATAACCTTAAATAAAGAAAGAATGTAATTGACCCTAACTAGATTATGGATTAAAGCGCATAAAATAATTTTTTTTAAAAAAAGTCCTTTAATTGAATAGAAACTGTGGCCCTTTCTAGCGTATTCAGAATACAGGAATTTCCAAAGCTTTTTACACGACTATATTCATTTTTGGGGGGAACGGTAAAATTTTTTGATCCCTTTTGAAGTGAGATTTGTCAAAAACTCGTTAAAAAAATGACGACGAAACTTAAATTTAGAGTATTTGGCTTATGAATTGTAGACTTAATAAAATCTTATATTACAGTTCTGCTATATAAATGTCAATATTGTTCCTCGCATAAGTCTATTTTGAAGAAAATATTATAGAATTAATGAAGGCAGTTCTATTCCTAGACTATTATACTCGATAAGATTATAAAATACTATGACAAGTTTGAACTTTCGATATATTGTTGTCCACTAAATAAACATATCTTTATTATAGGATATTCCATATACATGAATAACAAATGCATCATAATTTGCAAGTTATTATATTATTATTTGTGGGAATTTGGTCACTAGGAACAATGAATCAATAAGCTTCTACTTATGAAAATATGGCTAATAATTTTTTCAAAAGCTAACATACATGTTATTGTGCAGATATTATTGCTCATATAAGAGTTTTTGTTCAACTTCAATGGCATGTTTAACACATTAGATTAATAAGTATTTAATTCTCGTTCAATCGTATCTAGTTTAACATATCAAACATATGTTACATGACAACCATACGAGGACAAGAAAAATAGAGATAAAAGATTTACATCTCCTAGAAAATAGGGGAGATATCATAAATCAACCTTCCTAAAAAGTAACAACAATAAGAGGGTATTTGGTGTAAATTAAAATCAGATTTTAAGTGGATTGTGATAATAGTTTTTGAAATGTGTAGTTGAAAAGATGTGGAACCCATAAAAGATGTGGTTGATATTGATTGTTTGACTTTGACTTAAATTAAAATCAAATTAAAATTTGACCCAAACAAGCCCTAAATGTTTTTGATAAAATCTAACTGGAGTATAAATGTGTTGGGAGTCTATCCATCCCTTAATATCATCGATAGGGATGGCAACGGAGAGGGACGGATCGGGGCAACCTCCCCTGCCCCCCGCCTTGTCAAGCAATTTCCCGCTCCATTACCCGTTTAAGGCAAGGCGGGCCGGGGCGGGGCGAGACCCTTTCCCCGTTTAATTTTCTTTTTTATAAGTTTTTGATAATTCATTTTATTGCCCCTTTCACTAGAGTGAGACAATAATATATTTTTCAATCTCTATTTATTTTTAAAAGTTAAATTATTCAAATATATTTGATAAACTAAGGCTTTTATTATTTGCCATATTTTTAAAATAATCTTAGTTACCATTTTCTATTAGAACTAATGAAATTTCGTAAAATTTTTCATTTAAAATATTGAATTCTAAAAAAAATTAAACAGGACGGGCCACCCATTACCTGCCCCAGGGCAAAGTTACCCGCATCGTCCTCGACCCGAATACCCAATTAAACGGATTGGGTATCGGGTTTGTCGGATTTTTTTTGTCATTCCTAATCATCGGGAGAATTGGTTGTTTGGTAAGATGAACATATATTAAGAAAAAAGTTGAAATTTTATGCATTATAATTCATTTCTATACGGCATTGCGGACCAAACATATTTGTTATACATTAACTTCCAAATCAACTTAGGAAACAATTGCTCTCCACTGTTTATCACAATCACCCGACATTGTCTCAAATGATGGTTAAAACAAAAAATTCGTCTTCTAGACAATGGACCTAATAATACTTTAACAAGAATATGACAAACTTTGTCGGATAGTTTTGTTGCTTAATTGTATTTAATTTTTTCTTAGCCCCTGTTTGAGTCACATTATTTTTTTCATTATCATTCTTTTACTCATTTTCAATCTCACATTCTTTAATAAAATAATATTTTCCATCAGATCAATAATTTTTTCACCTCAATCTCGAAATCATGACCTTCCCTTTTCTTTTATCAATGGGTCATCAACCGATGGTTTTTCCCGATAAAACAGAAGATTATTTTTAGAGAGAGAGAGAGAGGGAAGAGAAATAGATGCTTCTATCCAAAAGGAATAAAAAAGGGGGACAGATCAGAAAAACTTATCCAATTATAATACCTCTTTTCCTTTGAGCCAACCATTAACAGTAGCTTAGAAAAAAAGCAATTTTGAATCTAAAAAAGTGCAAATCTGACAGGAAGTGCTACAGGCCTTCATCTTATCTTTACTCTAATTTCAATAGAAATGAGATTCCAAATGGTGCCTCTACTCAGTTAGGTGCTTGAATTTTTCTTAACACTAAATGTCTCTTTACATAAAAGCCAACTTCCCAACAGTTAGACATTGGGAGATTTAACCTAATCCAATGGGGAGATAAGACTTACACTGACTATATGCATGTTTGATAGGCTGTTAAAGAAAAAGTAAAAGATTTTTCTTATTTGGCTTTTTAAAAAAAAAGTTTTATAAGAAACTTACATTATGTCAGAATAAGTAACTTATTATTACTTTAAATGTTCATCTATAAGAAGTGTTACATATTTTTAAAATTATAGTGAACTTCTGAAAAGACAAACATCGACCCATTTCAACAACTTGTCAAAGACTCTTTAGAAAATGGAGAGCTAGAGATGTGAATACGCTCCCACCAACTAAGCATCATAAACAAGAAGCACAAGATAAATATGAATAAATAATTTAAAATAGTAAAAAAAAAATCAAGTTCGATTCTCATTAAACTAATTTAAGAAAATTACAAATTGACTTTTTTTTTGTAATCAAAAATTAAATTTGATGAGCATATCATTGGGTGTTCTGATTATAGTATACAAATAAACGAAATATTCATCCCTAACCATTCTAATTCTAAACTTTTAAACAAATTATTTAACACTGCCTCTATGGTAGGAAAAGTTGTAAATGTTAATCGAGTACACAACAGATTGACAAACAAGCCAATTGCATCGATACGATATTAAAGACATCAAATATCCAAGAAAATCTACTGTTGTTCTAAAGTAAAACAAACGAAAGAGTTCTATAAATTGTTTGTAATGTTACTACCCAAAGTAGATTATTTTCCCATTCTTAATAGTATAATACTGCTCTCTAATCCGACTTCATTTGTAAAAATGGTGCTGATTTAACTCCAAATAAATTGATGGCACGTTTGGTAAAGTAGATTAGATAATACTATCAGTATTATAAATCTAAACATGCACCAACAAAGTGACGTTTATATTCATTCACACATGAAAAATGTTGAATACGACAAGCAGAAGACCAAAGAAACATACGACAGTATTATAAACAAACAAGATCGAGTCCAATGAAAATTCTACACAGAAAAGAGGGAGGTTTTTAGCCACTAAAATACATTCAAAAGAATTTTCAACATTCCTCGAAGACTTCAATCTTTTGACAGTGCAATTGACAGAACTTCATCCGCTATACAGTGAAAAATGAAAATCCCTTGTTCAAAAAATAAAAATATACAATTTCTTGGTCCGAAAATCCTTTAAAGATTATCCATGAGATCATGCTGTGAACTAAGGTCGTCTATTCTTTGCTAATTCTATGGATCTATTTCGAAGCTTCACCGAGAAAATGCTGCTGCTATGATTAGCTAATAAAGAATATAAATGAAGTACCAAGCTGAATCCCTGAGAAGTGTTTAATCAGCCATGAATAGATATTTCAGGTCATCCACAGTAAGCCGTGTTTGACGGCTACCAGTCTCATCCTCTCCAAATGCAGATGAAACCATCACCCTCTTCTTTTGCTGGAAAACACCAAACATTGGAGAGTTATTACACAACGAATGACAACCGAGTACCATATATGATGTCAAATGTTAAAGCACTTTCACGTCAAGTTTCTTCCCTTTTTAGCCGCCGGTTTCCATATCAGAAACAAAAATTGAGGTGAAAATTTAAATAAAATTACAGAAATATACCTGAAGAGCCAAAATGCGATCTTCTACTGTATCTTTCACTGTCAGCCGCAAAACTGAAACCGGACGCGTCTGCCCAATACGGTGTGCTCTGTCAATGGCTTGATCTTCAGTGGTTGGGTTCCACCACAGGTCCAGGAGGAGTACATGACAAGCAGCAACCATGTTCAGTCCAAGACTTGCAGCTTTCAGAGACATTATCATAACAGTAACCTGGCACAAAATTCCACAATTTAGTCCTTTGAAGATATAAATCATGAATTCCTTATACAAAATGAAAATAATCCAACGTACCTCGGGATTGGTATTGAAATCTTTCACGGCGTTGTCTCTGGCACCAACAGACATTGTTCCATCAAGTCTCCTGTATTGAATGGTAGAGTCCTTCAAACAAGATTCGAGCAAATTCAACATCCCCGTCCATTGTGAGAAAACAATAGCTTTCTCTCCCCCTACCTTAACCAAAGAGTTTGAACATCCACTCAAGTCTGGACTTTCATTAGCTGTCCCAGGTAAACTTTCAGAAAAAGAAGCTCCAACTGAGGATCCTGAGGAGCTTGTTCTTGAGGCACAATCCTGAGGTTTAGACAAGGATAGCAGGACCTCAAGAGCAGCCTTAATTTTTGAGGAATCATATGGACAACTCAAAGGACAAGGCTCAGACACCTGAGCTGCTTCTGAACCAGAGGAACCGTTAATATTAGCCTTGCTGAACCCATCCACAGATAGAGCAATCCGTAGGGTTGTTATAGAAAACACGGACGATATATCAAGACGAGTTTTGCAAGTCTTGGTGGGACACTGAGTATCATCACCTGTTAAATGCTCGCTTATGCACTGATTGCAAAAGACATGTCCACAGACTGTTACAACAGCATCTTCTGGTGGATCCTGCAACAAATTAGGAAAAATATGTCAAGAAAGATAATAGTACATACTGATAGTTCTCTAGAAGGAAATATAAATTGTAACAGCAAAACTTAAGCAGGGCAGGACACAAAATATATAACTTAAAACGCAAGAATCAATAAATGGCAAAATGGACAACTATTACACCACCTATATATATCAGTCAAAATGATTAAACAAAATAACAAGCATTATGAAGCACATATAATCATTGTAACCAAAAGGACAAATCCCATATCCAGGCAGAAGAGTAAGAAAAGAAATTACGATGTATCTTCCTGAATAGATAAGTACATTCTTGCACGAAAAATTTTGCCTGTATTTTTCCAGACATACTATGCCCCTGTTTGGGCTCCATTAAAATGAGTTTTTAGGAGAAAATGTGTTTTCGAATAGTGATTTTTAGGAGAATGTGTGGTTAAAAAATATAGAAAAGTTTTTGGTTTTAAGTGTAACATTATTTTATGAGAGACTGTGTGATTGAAAATGAGTTATGAAATAATGTATTTTTGGAAAAATGGAGCCCAAACAGGGACTAAGGACTAACATCTTCTTAGATTTGTATCTTCTGTTCTTAACTTCAATTGCAATGTTTCAAAAGGAAAGTAAGTTTAAATTCTTACGAGTTCCCAAGAACATGAAGAGAGAAACAAACACACTTATAGAACCCCCACTACACTTAGTTGTTGTCACGGGCTGATACTAATGGCCATTACAGAATCACAGTGTAGTTGTTGCAAATGCTGAAATGTGATAGCGGCCTAAATTGCTCCTTTGACAAACAAAAATCTCAGCAGTGATAATCCCACTATATCATCTATCATGGGAAAACTTATTTAATCTACAGATAACTAGAAGAAAGACTAGATAGGATGCATCACCTATTGTTTATGTAAACAATCAATTTTGTTCATATGAGACAACCCCATCTCCACCCACAAAACTCCCACAGAGAGAGAGAGAGAGAGAGAGAGAGAGGCAGCATTCATGGCTAGAACGACATTATTCAATAAGAACAAACATTATATATACAATGGAAATACTATCTGACAATGACAGCTTAATATTGGAGTTATGTTAAATATCAACAAATAAAGCGGTTTTTAAGGACAATCTCTTAATAAGCACTTACACTGCATATTCCACAAATTGCCAAGGACGCTTCCAAACAATTTAGAAGGCTAATTTGTTTCTCCTGAGGAAGTTTCTTGGCCATCTCAATGGAGGCAGTCATTTTTGCATTAGTACTGAATCCACTAACAAGAAGAGGGTGGTCACAAGCTTGTCGAAGCCGCAAAAGCATCAATAATATGTTGACATAATTTTGTTTGACAGTTCCAGCAGCAGCATATTCCTGGTATACATCAAGAGATTTAAACATAAGGAACAGCAGATCCATAAAAACATTCGCATGTGTTATTGCCTTCTATATAAAACATACTGCAAATTGAGCACGTGAATTCGCCTCAAGACTGCGATAGAAATCTCGCTCCTCCTTTGAAAAATCCACTTTTTTCAATTCTATTATTTTTGGGGGGAGATTGATGATTGGCTCTCCATCAATAAGAGTACCTAGATCAAACAATGCCACAAACATATCATTAAGCTCCTGCAGAATGCTCATACAGTTTAATATGCAGTTCTACAGAGAGAGCTGAAGTAATACAGAAAGCGCAAATCGGGCACTAGCTATTGAGTTACAGTTATTTTTCAGAAAGTCTACTCTAAAAATTTCGAACAGATAGTCATAAGTCAAAATAAGCCAAAATATTATTTCAAATGTGTAAGTTACCAATTGAGCAGCCTAAACCACAAAAGACACTAAATTGAATTTGCTAAACAGGTAACAGAAGTCCTGTTACAGTAACATATCTTTTTATGGTTCAAATGGTTAATATAAAGATTGAAATGCTATTGTGTAAACATGAGGTGCATTTTTTCAGGTCACAGAAACAGAGACAGACTAATACAAGGCCAACATTGCCACATCAATGTGGTACAAAAGACTTGGCTGAGCTTTATCATTAGAGATTCCAAGCAGAGCACACTCCAGGGACTAGATTAGACCAATTCTTTCCATGCATATAACTTAATAAAATACACATGAAAACAAACAATTATCCTTCGCATAAATCAAATCTTGCGATATACACACTAGTATGCATCGCTTATAGAGAAAGCAAAACCATCTTCTCACCTTTGGTTCGACGCAACATTATAGTCTTTAACACGGCTTGTAGCTTTTTGTACCCAACCTTTGGGTTCCTATGTATTGGCACCTTTAGAGTAGAGCAAAAGAACTGAAAAACAGCATACGGATCATATCTGAGAAATCTGAAGTAGCTATAAAGATCATCGATTGCATTCTGGATAGGTGTCCCTGATAAGCACCACCTACGTTTAGCACGAAGTCCCCAACATGCCCTAGCTGTTTGAGTTCTATGATTCTTAATGCTCTGAGCCTCATCGAGTACAACCCGAAACCATCCAACCTTGGCAAGGGGGCCAGATAGTAATTCATTGTCAATTCCTTTCTTGCTCTTCTTACTCTTTGAGGATTTTTTATTTTCGGGGTAGTTCCTTTTTCTACCATAAAATCTAGATTCAGATTCAATCTCATCTTCATATTCATCAACAAGAGGCTGCTTCGGCACCTCCATGCTCACAATTGAATATGTTGTAAGTACAACGTCGTACTTAGCCAGCTCAACAGGATCCTTTGTACGGTTGCTTCCGTGGTAGACTAGAACTGAGAGATCAGCTTCCCTTGTTACTTTATTGCGTAACTCATCATACCACTGTCGAAGAACACTTGTCGGACATACAATAAGTGTTCCAGCAGGTGGCCTACCCTTTGCTTGCATATGTGTCCCACTGATGGGGGATCCGTCAACTTGACAAGATTTGGCTCCTTGCTCCGATTGATAGATCTCAGACACTCCATCATCCTCATCCAGATTTAATGTCTCTGCCTTGCATTGTTCTTCATTCGCTTTAGATGCTTTAGCAGTTGGAGACCTTTCCTTCAGTATAAGTGCAATTGTTGATATGGTCTTCCCAAGTCCCTGCCAATATAGTAGCACAAAACCTGAGATGAGAAGATTGTCACGTGGTAATGATCAGGCTTTATAATCTTAAAAAGAATGACACCCGTGAGCCAACCTGATCATCAGCAAGAAATCCACCAGAACAGCATGTCACACCTGTCTCCTTGTTGACCATCCATGCTAAGGCAATTCGCTGTCCAGATATGAAATTACTATTAGTAGGGTTATTTCCCATCTACCCATCAATGAACATTGAGCAGAGATAAGGCAGGATGTACCAAGAAAGCACAAGTCCCCATCCTTACTATGGTATAAAAGTAAGGATGATAATGATGACAATATGAAGAAACAACTCAAGAGATATAGATATGCCCAACTCAAGTTGAAAGCACGCATAAATTCAAAGCAAACAACATTTGAAACCAAGAAATATGCAAACAATCCGTGTTTCTTTTCCACATCTTTAAAATGGAAACGTTAAAGATGTTCTACTGAAATGTGTAAAAACATGAAATATAATTCGAAAAAGTTTGGGGTTTAAATGTGATCCAGGGACTTTGCTAAAAATATACTATCCTTTCCATGTGGCAGTCCAAACAGATTTTCCATTCAAACAGCCCAAAATAATCAAAATCTGCATCGGGTAAAAGCTGCTACAAAGCCAACTGTTATTGAGAAATGTCAACATTCATATTTTGGAAGGAAGAAAAGAAAAGAAAAGCTGTATGGCATAATATGGAAATGGAAGGGATTTTAAATGCAATAAGAACCAAAGGGAAAATTGATTCTCTCTGACAACTTCTTCCTCAACTGAAGATACACTAAGTGCTATAGAATCAGCACAGCTACATCGAATCCATATTATTCCAAAACAAAAACTTGTAAAAAAGTCCATACCTGGTGTTTCAACAGAGGTACAGCCAAAAGGCCCTCTGGTGGAGTAGCTTCTGATTTTGGCTGTGAAAGATCCTGCCACATTGTAGATGATACGATCAGTTACCATCAAAACAGAAAGATAAAAAATTTAGAACTACTGGAGATATGAAATGTGCAATGGTTTTTCACAAGAATCTACAGAACCTTATCAAGCCATATATGGTAGCAAGAATTACTTTCATATACCAGTTATATAAGTTAGAATGTTCGAAAAATGGGTAAAATGTCAAAAAGTAATACCATTTAAAATTTCTGAATAAAAAATTCTTGTACTCTGGGGAAAAAGATATGCAGAGGCAGCTAGCCACATAACTTGGAAGAATTATCACACAAAAATCTCAGCCCCAGTTTGACAACCATTATTTGGGAACAACGATGTTTTGAATGGTGACTTTGAGGTATATGTGTGGTTAAAAGTTAGGAAAAAGTTTTGGGTTTACATGCAGAATATTTTATTGTGTGAACGTGTGGTTGAAAATAAGTCTGTAGATAAAAGAGTTTTCAAACAATGGTTGTCAAACAGGGGCTTAAGTAAATTCATAAACCAAGTTAAAAGTAAACCACAATACATGAATAGATTCAAAAGATAAATGCTGCAGCAAAAGAAATTATTCTCCATTCAAAAAATAGAAGTAAGATCTCGTACTACAGGCTAAACAAATTTCACTCTGACTCGAAAATAATGTCTTAGTCTGGCCTAACACATTATTCAGATGAGATTTGCAACAATGTGTTACTGGCGAGTAGGGTCATAAGCCACATTCAGGCAAGTGGTCCACATATGGAGTTGAACATTATTCAGCTAAAATTCAAAGTTCTCAATTTAAAGAAAGTGGATAACATTTATATTCTACAAAATCCAAAATAGAAATGGAAAAGTGATTTTCAACAGGAAGTGATTTGTGCAACAAACTGATCTTCACAAGAGGTATAAACCACAAGCTATAGGTTCCTGTTTATCTATCACTGAATCAATATCTCATGACTGGAATCTCATGTCCATCCGTCTATGCGCACAGGGCACTGGAAGCACTGTCACTTAGGGGAAATACAGACGAGGTCAGAACATGGTTAAAGCTTCTATGATAGCTTCCCCCTCATGTCTTCGTCGCTTGATAGGATTATTTCATTTTTTCATTTCTGCTAAGATAGCATTCATTTTTCAGACCATATTTCCCTTTCTCAAAAGCCTCTCCTTGTAAAAAAACACTGTGTATGCGATTCCCCTTGAGAAAAAAGAGAGAACGTCGAGTTTTGGAGGTATCATGTAAAGTCCATTTTGTACCCCAGAGAAGGAATTCGTGCAATGCATGCAAATTTCGATGATAAAAATATTTGCACTTTGAAGCATGTGTAGAAAGCAGAATCCAAGATCTAGTTACAAAATACATACCTCAAAAAAGTAGGTTGGAAAAGTAGCTTTTATACCAGAGTGTTTATTTAGTGAGGAAACAAGAGCAAAATAGAGCAACAACTATTGACAAAATGACATCAGCCAAACACTAATAAATCACTTCTCAAAATATAATAGAGAAACTTTTTATTTTTTCCAAAATTTCCTTTTACAGCCTATAAAATTTGTTTAATCCAAGTAGAAATTAAAAAAAGGCAACTGAGAAGAGTTTTCACCCAGATGATTAAGACTTGGGACAGCTTAAGATAATTGAAATACCAAAATCTATAGAATTGCATTAAAAAATAATAATTAAAATCACTATTAATTGATGATTCCAATAGTATACCTACTTTAAAAAGGCAGAGGCAAAATAATCTGGTCTAGCAGAAAAATAAATAAAAGAGAGAGAAAAAAAAAAAAAGTACCACATTGTATAGAATAGGGCAACAGAGTCTACACAATAATATATGAAGCCAATGTTGAAAAGGCATCCATAAATTTTTACTCTAGGACAATCTTTCTTCTTTTTCTAAACAATATTTCTTTAGACTACATAATGAGAATCAAGAAATACTAGCAACTGCCTGTATGTTCAATTGGGATGCACAACAATAAATGAAAGAAAAGGATGAATTAGTTGTTTCTCAGAAGAAAGGATGCACTACTGAGAGACAATATTTAAACCGCCCAGCATATGTACGGAAAGTTCTAGACAACATAAAGATGGCGCAATATAAACCTATTCCTGTCACAAATCAAGACATCAACATATTGGTCGATTTACAAACAAAATTTCTAAGAGAAGACGTGTATAATCAAATGGATCATTATAACGTCGGAAGCCTGTGGGGAATGGGGAAGGAAGAACAGACAGAGCTTGAGCCTGAGAGAAGGAACGAATATCGCTTAGTTGGTTTTCGCTCCTTACGTCGTGAAGGCATAAGCCTTTAGTTTTAAAAAAAAAAAAAAGTACCACATTGTATAGAATAGGGCAACAGAGTCTACACAATAATATATGAAGCCAATGTTGAAAAGGCATCCATAAATTTTTACTCTAGGACAATCTTTCTTCTTTTTCTAAACAATATTTCTTTAGACTACATAATGAGAATCAAGAAATACTAGCAACTGCCTGTATGTTCAATTGGGATGCACAACAATAAATGAAAGAAAAGGATGAATTAGTTGTTTCTCAGAAGAAAGGATGCACTACTGAGAGACAATATTTAAACCGCCCAGCATATGTACGGAAAGTTCTAGACAACATAAAGATGGCGCAATATAAACCTATTCCTGTCACAAATCAAGACATCAACATATTGGTCGATTTACAAACAAAATTTCTAAGAGAAGACGTGTATAATCAAATGGATCATTATAACGTCGGAAGCCTGTGGGGAATGGGGAAGGAGGACCAGACAGGGACTGAGCCTCAGAGAAGGAACGAATATCACTAAATTGGTTAGTTACTTAAATCAAACAAAATGATTGTTAACTACAGATCGTTAGTGAATACAAATATCAGTTCAGGAACCTACCCGCAAAGCAACTCGATAGATGAATCGTTCGTCATTTTGTCTGATCTTTGAATGAGCCGCTACCGTGTGGCTTATAGGGTCTCTTGATGTGGAAAGATGGGAAGCAGCAACCAACTTGGCACTTACTGCAGTGGTATTTATGCACGGTGGTGCACTCATATCCTCCAGAATACATAGATCAGAGTCTTCATCAACATGGTAGCTTTGATGCACTGTACCAATCTGTGATCCTTGGCAGTTGATATTTGAAATAAAAGAATCATTAACCTTTGGTTTTTGTTCTGTCTTTAAACAACTAAATTGTTCATTAATTGAGGTGGATGGCAGTAAGGCAGGTTTCTCTGCCGCCTGTACAATAGGACCACAACCATGAGCAACTACAGTGGAATTTTTTGCTGAAATTTCGTCAACTGTACCAAGAGAAAAGCGAGCTCTCTTTGATATTTCATCTTTCTCATACTTCATATGGGACAAATTATTCTCACTTGAACAGGGAGTTGGAGAATCGGACAATGACCATTTTATGTCACCATTAGTAGAAAGCCCATCAGCAACACCAAAGAAGTTCCTACCATTTACACCATCAATGATTTCAGAAGATCTGAAAGCTATGTCACTGGATGTAATTGATTCCCCTTTCTTCTCAATCTTTACATGATCATGTACTTTGCTGAAAACATTTGAAAAAATACTTGGAGTGGCATAATCTAATGCACTCCTCATCGTATGCATGTCACTCGATTTAGTAAATGGAATACCATTGCTTGCAGAAACAAAGTCATCACTACCAAAATTAGCATTCAGCTGTACAATGTCATTTCCAACTAGATCCTCGAATGTCATCGTCCTAGTGAAGTCCTGAGTTGGAACCTCCGCCTCATCCAATATGTTCATCATCCAATTATCCTCGCTAGATGACGAATTAAATACTGAACTATAAGTAAAATCTGGATTCATTGGAGCAAAATGAGATGTATTATCAGAACCTAAAAAATACATATCACCATTTTCAGATAAGAAATCTGGAACATCCCCCCCAGGAATTTCACAAGAACTAGACTCGGCGTGAGAAGCTCCATGGGAAGACCCATCACCATCGATGATACATGATTCCCCTATATGTGCAACAGAGGTTCCAAGATCATTTTCTTCCATCAACTGGTTGTGATACAAACCTGCAAACAATACCATTTTCATACCAAAGATTCAGAATACATGTGCAAAGAAACACTAACCAACTACAACAAACGCACAAGCATTAGAAAAATACTATGCTACATCACAAGGTTTAAAACTCTAAACATTATATTTCACTCTATTATAACAAGAAACAACTATATTAGATCGACTTTGGTGAATTCAATACCACCAATGCAGATAACTAATTACCATAACAATGATTATTAAAATTCTGATTGCGTCAGAAGTAGTTTGAAGAAAACTAGGGGTGTTAAAATAAAAGATTAAGATTATAGAGTGACGTATCTTTTTGTTGAAAAAGATTCAACAAGGACCTTATTTCCAGTAAAAAAAAAGGAATTTGCTAGATGTCTTTTGTACCACTCCCTTCAATCCATTACTGAAAAAACCATTGCTTTTTTTTTTTTGATAAGTAATCAGACTCCTAATAATGTTCTGAAGGGGATTCACACTGATTTTGAATATAATGGGTTGTTGTGTTATATATATGTGTGTGTGTGTGTGTGTGTGTCACTTACATTCATATTTGGGTATATATATATATAAGCAGATAAATATAATTAGAAGTATAAGATAAGTAAAGAACGATAGTAAGCACCTTTGCCAAAAGAAATGATGTAAAAAGGAAATGGGTCCTCTAAATTGCTTGAAACGTTTTGTAAAAATAATGGTAGACTTTTAACTAATTTATTTTCCTTTATCTTAAGTCATGAATTTCACTAATGAGTTAAAATAACTAACTTGAAGAACTAGATCAAACAAACGCTTTCTATACTTCGTCTATAAACGAGAAAAAAAAATTGAGTACTCACATACAATATCATAAAAGCCTTGCTATCGTATTAGCCATTCCGTGTAACTTCGTTTTGATGTTAATCATATCTTACCATCACATAAAATCTCTGTACACTTCTTCATTTCATCTATCTTGCTCCACTCGTATGCACTACATCCTTCTCAAGGTATTTGTTCTCATTAGTATCAAACCTATATAACTAGCACTCTTCTATAATTTTTACTCCAACTATGACTAAATGGGCATTCAATGCATTCCATCTTACTTCTACTTAACCTAGTATCTTCAGATTATACTTCTCCAAAGTTCTATCTTACAATATATAACAATTCTAGTCTCATCAACTAAAACCATGCTATCAACAAATCCAGACACCAAGAATCCTTGTCTTCAATGTGGCTTGTAAGCTCCTCTATGACTAAAGCGAAAAATATATGGTGTGCCTGATGTAAGCCAGGCTACAGCAATAGGAATAATGCGATAACATAAGGCATGGTATCCCACATTATTTCGTCCTCTCAACACTTCAAGAGAAAGTGAATAAATGAAGAAAATATTGTACCAACCCATATCATAAAATTGCTTACCAACCTTGTGGGATGTCGTTTGATGAAGAATTCTCTGGCCTCACCTGCAAGTTCACAAGAAAAAACTAAAAATCAAGCATAAATCAATAAGAATGAAATCGTAAAACAAGTTAACATCATAGTCGGAAGGTTGTTTTATGCACATATTTCCATATATATGCAGGAAGGATGGAGTAGGGGTGGGAGGGGATGTTCACAAGTATAGACTCGAAAAAACCAAATATCAGTCATGTGCCATCAAGATCCGCTACTTGCACAAAATTCCAAACGTTTACCAAAAGCTGCTCAGACCAATTCACCGTGCAATCAAATCAATCCAAACTCGGCCATATTCAAATCCCACTAAATCACTGAATTTAAACAAACTTAACATATCGGCAATCCAGAATTTAAAATTTAACAAGTAAAATTATACTGAAAGGAAAAAAAAAACTTAGTATCTAACCTGTGAAGGTCCTGAAGGATCCTGTTCTGGAGGGCCTCCCATGAGATTCCAGAAAGAGTCAAGATCGAGGTATACGTCATCGCAATTATCGTCCGCCTGAAATAATTCCTCCATTATCATCGATGATCTCCCATCTGTCTCAGCCATCATCATCTCAATTTTCTTATCTCTACCCAAATCTTTACCATTTGCCAAAAAGTAAATGGAAAAACCCTAATTTTCTGTGGAACGGAAAATCAATCGAAATTCTATCCTTCCATATACATATATGAAACGTATATATATGAACAAGTCAATTGTGTGGAATTTAGCAAGAAGATTCTTGGCAATTCCCGTGAATTTTTTGGAACGGGAAAAGGAAATATTGGGGGATGCGCCGGTTAGAGAAAAATAAGGGAGTAGGTTAACGACTTTTATAATTTTTGACTATTCAGTATTGGGAGTTTTTTAACTGGAAACAGTGGGAAAAGTAGAATAAGGGGGCTTAGGTTAATGTGCGCCGCGTTGTCCGTTTCACATTAGGATTAGGAAAAGTTTGGGAAAGTCACCTTGTTCTTGTGCACGCACACAGTATATAATTGTCTTGTGGTTGAAGGAAAACGTGTGACCTATTTTTTTTATTTTTTTATTACAAAATTTGGATTTGATGTATACGAGTAGAGATAAGTTTAAAAGCAACAAGATTTTTGTTTAGAGGGACAAATAATATTAAAAGTCGGTATAAATATCATCCCGTCGAGACAGTCTGTCTCCTATTGTATCGATCAATTATTTGAAAAATATATGAATTGGTATAATTTGTGTGCAGAACGTTCGTATTTAATACTATTATTATTGTAAATTAACTAAAAATAAATTCCTTAAATTAAGATTAATCCAGAACACAAGGTTGATGTCGGGCAGCCAGTCCTTAGGTGCATCCTATTGTTCTGTATCTACTTGAGATCTAGAAAACCTAAGCTGAATTTTTGCTGTAAATGAACAATTGTTAGCTGTTTCTTTTTTCTATTTCGAGAAAGTAAAGCAGAAAAAGTTTCGGCTTTACTTCGTGCCATTTGGAAAGAGGTGTTGCTCATGTAACACGTGTTCTTAATGTAGGTCTAATCAATTTTGGGCATTTTTTATTCTTAAAAAAAAAAAAAAAATATTTGTTTCTGGTTCCACAGGAATTCTATTCTTGAGCATAATATCGATGTGTTAGCAATTCAGAATAAGCATCCTTTTCTTTTTGAATAAAGAGAGGCACGTGTTAATTTTGATTTCGTGAGCCATTTTAAGTGCAAACACCTTTAGATTTAGCATTAGTAATTGTACTTTTTGAATGAAATTGAGAAGTCATGGAGATGTAGTGATGGCCATCCATTATGGAATCTGTTAACTGTGATATGCTGTCTTGGACAAATCTGGAGTCTGTCAAATTAATGCTGCAATCAGTTTAGAGTTTGCGCTGCTCTTTCTATCTATCAATAGCTGTTCCTCAGCCGAACATAGATACCTTGGAAATTGTGAACTTGCATCGATGCATGTATTGAAATTCGGTCTCTCCTATAGCTCTATCTTGTTGTACCATCTTTAGTTTTGGTGTCATTTATATGATTGAAGGATGGTGGTATTGTGGTAATGGCGCAGACCCTCTGTGGGCACACAACTCCAGTAGAGTCTGTAGCTTTTGATTCAGCAGAAACTTGGTGGTCGCTGGATCTTCTTCTGGTACCATCATGCTGTGGGATTTAGAATAAGCCAAAAGTAAGTTGATTTGTTTCTTTAAGTTTTACTTTTAGCGCAAGTTGACTTTCTGGATTGATTGTTGATTTCTTGGCTGTAGAACTTGAGTCAAAATGAAGTCCTTGACAGACTTGAATTAGAATTTTAACATAAAATTCGAAAATAACTATGTTTGGGTGCTGCATCAGTAATTCCGAGAGACTATAAAGTTCATGATGAAAACTTTAGATTTCTGTCTACTTAATGTAATTTGAAAATATGTTTTGAGTGCTGTATTGAATTTTTCTGTCAGTAGCATGCTTATAATCCCAGTCGAAATTTTAGACAGCTTGACTCATAATCTAGTTAACATTCTTGAACTGCAGTATTTCGAACTCTTACTGAGTTACTGTACACAGATCCTACTGTACTATAATTGAAGTCCATTCATTTGGCGAGTTTTTGGCTTCTGGTTCCATGTTTACTAATTTAAAGGTCTGGGATGTCAGAAAGAAAGGATGCATTCACACTTACAAGGGTCATACTCGAGGGATAAGTACAATAAGATTCAGTACCGATGGTTGTTGGGTAGTCTCTGGTGGGTTTGATAGTACTGTCAAGGTATTACTTTGAGATTTTCATGTGAAGTGTAGTTTAAATTAGCTTTATATCTTGCTTGGTCGTAAACTCTGTTTGCGGTATACAGGTGTGAGACCTGACAGCTGGAAAGCTTTTACACGATTTCAAGTTTCGTGAAGGACAAATTCGCTCTATAGATTTTCTTCCACTTGAGTTTCTTTTAGCAACAGGTGGATATTTGTTTACCATAGTTAGTATTTTATGCTCTCATTGGTTTGCTAACTGCTATCAAATAAAATTTATTTTCTAGGTTCAGCAGACAAAACTGTGAAATTTTGGGATTTGGAAACGTTTGAAATGATTGGATCTACCAGACGTGAGTTAGTTGCGCTTGTCCATTTGAATGAGATGGATGACTTTAGAATAGTTTTTCATTTGCAGAGCACAGAAAAACTGCCTCGTTGCTTACTAAATGAACAGATCATATTTTCTTATCCTTGACAAAGCCCTTGGAAGAAGTTTTTGTTTTCCTCTTCCTAATTAAAGGATTGATTAAAACATGTCCAATTCAATTGGAAATTTGTTTATCCAAAATTCTTGTTCTATCTCTAAATTTAAGAAAAACATTGTTGCTCAAAGATATTGTTAAAGAAATAAATCAAATCAAATTAAATCATTTTCTTATTCGTGTCTTTTGTCATCTGCCTCCAATTCTATTCTATGATACACGTTCTCTCCTCTTTGTTTTTTTTCAGTTTGTTGATTGTTCCCCAAATATTATATCACTCCAAAATAACTTCTTTTTCTCCTTTCCTAGGCCACAGGAATATGATCGGTTACCTTCCATCCTGATGGGAGAACCCTTTTTTGTGCTTTGGACGATAGTCTGTATCTGAGATTTTTGAAACTCTATGGTTGCTGATTTTGAAAAAGAATGTTCACATGGTTCATCTTTCTTGAACTGTAGGTTTACTCGTGAGAGCCTCTAATTTGTCGTGATTCTGTTGACATGGGATGGTCGACGATGGGTATTCTATACATCCACGATGGAAAACTTCTGAGTGGTGCATGTTATGAAAACTCAGTTGCAGTTTGGGTAGCAGATATCTCGGTATTAGCCTTTCTCTGCTGATACTTCAAGTCTTCAATTTACTTAGCTCACTTTTGAGTTTACACTGCATTTTGAGGTCCGCTTTCCCTGTTGTTCCTCTCAATTAACTAGTGCTCCCCTTCTGTGCTAGCTTGTTGAGCCATATCGTGCAAGATTGTCTTCTGATCAACACATACACTCGAAGCAGAAATGTGACAGTGGGGAAAGTCCTTTGGAGAAAGGAGAAAGCCATGTAAACTCCAAGTCAAATCTGCTGTCTACATGGCAGATACTGAATCTGAGGAAATAAAAGATATGTATGTGGACTGTAAGATCTCATTAATTCCTCAATAAATTTCGAGCATGCAAAACTTTATCTGGTTAAAAAATCCACTTCCGGATGAAAGTTATTTGTCTATTTAAATATAAGATAGATATGAGAAAAACGAAAGGTGAAGAGAAAACAAACTTCGGGCCTGCTTGGGAGTTTCAGCGTCCCAGTTATAAGCTTTTTTTACTTATACATCATTTTTTTTTTTTTTTTGCATATAAGTTAATATTTAACTTAACAAGTTGAATAAAGTTAAATATTTACGTAAAATTTTATGTTAGTATTTCTTAGTTATATATAAACTTTATAATTATAAGTTAATTTTGCACTTTTAAATAATTTTTACACATAAGCGAATTTTTTACTTATAAGTAATTTTTTATATTTTATAAGTGATTTTTCTTGTCTTATTAGTAAGATTTTTACACAAAAATAATTTTTTTTATTTTACTTATAAATAAATTTTTAATTATAATATAAATTTTTCTTATAAATAATTTTTTTAGTTAGTATATTTTAATTTATAAGGTAGTATTAAACAAAATGTGTTTGTTGGAAATAATTATTTTATAAAGGGTAAAATTTGAAGAGAATTTGCGAAACGACAAACAATTGATTTAATGAGTTGTGAGAACCGGTCAAATTACATTACACTATTTTTGAGTGGTTGTTAGACTATCCAAAACCGGTGCCCGAAAAATCTACTAAGCACCCCTCATAAACGATGCCACCTAAAACCTGACAAAATCGGTGAAAATAAAACTCTCAAGCAGGCCCTTCATAAATTTTGTACTTCGTGAATTGTTCAGGTGCTTGACTGTGATCAACGAGGTTGTCATAAAATAATGATTCTAACTAGCCAATTTCTTTCCTTCATGATGTTACAGTGAAAATTATAGCTAATGCTAACTTGACAGTTTTAGATTAGCCATAAGTCAATTTCTGATGTCAACCTTATTAGTAATAACATTTTCTTTTCCGTGCGAAGCTGCAGGTGTAAATCTCATCACTTCAAAGAAATCTGGTTCACTTGATTCTCCAAAGGTTGTACATCCATCTGACACCAAGGAATTCAGTATTGTGGGAATCCAGAAACAAGTTTCTGCAGTCGCCATGCCTGCAAAGACTAATGTGCCACTCAATAAAAAAATCTCCCATTGTGCCCAGTACTGCACCCTCATGTAAAGGACTCGGTTGGTTCCAGAAGGGAATCTATTACTACTGCCAAGGCAATGCCAAATAACTACAGTAACATAGTTGTTTAGTATTAGTAACTTCTTGATTGTCGTTGCATTAGTAATTTTTTGTTCCTTGTTGGAACTGCTGCCAAGTGCCTCTATTATTTTGATTTCAGAGCATTGAGAATGAAACGAGAACTGCGAGCACTAAACTTCCATCCCTTCCCACTTGCTCTAGTAACTTCTTTTTCTGTGATTTTTATTCCACGCT